TTTAAAATTCACCTAATGCAACTTTTGAATTTAAATTTCATTAATTGAATATGAAGATGGAGTTCAAACTTTAAAATTCAGACTGTAATGTTCAGATTATACAAATTCATACTATAAAATTCACCAAATGCATATTCAGAATTTAAAATTCATTATCAGATCATATAACTAAAATAAATGTTATTTCATAATGTATTAATCAGTAATTACATACCCGATTCTCAACAACACATTGTGGTGGGTCACCATCCTTGGGCACATATATCTTTTCGTACACTTCCATTTTTAGAGGAGTTCGATTCAAATCTTTGGTCTATGAAAATAGAAATAATAAATTTTGTTAAATATTCATCATAGGATTAGTATAATAATCATTATATATAGTATATATTTCAAACTTTAATTACCATTTTTTTAAACTAGTAACAAATGATTATTATTATTATTAACATGTGAACTTTAATTACCATTTTTTTCAAACTTTAATAACAAATGATTATTATACCCCCTCCGTTCTTTTTTAGTTGCAACACTTTCCTTTTTTAGTACTTTCAAAATAATTGCAACATTGCCTTTTTTAGTAATAAGAAATAATCATAATGACTATATTACCATTAAATCCAGTAATACTCTGTACTACTGAGCCACAAAATCCTTCCGCCTAATTTTTCAGCCATCTGCCCACCAACTCTTCTTCCTCATTCCTATTTCTTCCATCTCCCACTCCTAGTCTACTGTTACTCCTTCTTCACTCTTTCCTCCATTCTTTAATCCAAAAATTAATCCCATTTACAGAAAATCCAAGAAGAACAATTCAGAAAGAAAGTATAGGCCACGATTACCATCTTCCTAGTCAATTCCTTCGGTTATTAGCGCTTGTTGAGGTTTATTCCTGAATATCCGAAAGCCCAACACAAGCTTTGGAAATTGTAGGGATATTGGGTTGATTTAAAAGGTGTTTAAAATATAAAAATGGTGAGATATCGATCAACTCAGAAGCTGACTTGTATTCAGTAATTCGATGATTACACTGAAACTACCCGAACAGTAGATAAATGCGAGAATACAAGAATAAGAGAGATAAATCTATTGTTAAGCTCTGAGTATTAAAATGCTCACCCTTTACAATGATCTTAATGCAGGTATTTATAGTAAAATGGGGATGGGAAAGCTGGTCACGTGGCTGAATCCGATAGGTTGTCATCTCTGCCATGTAAGCACCCCTGCCTCCACTTGCAGGCGCCATGATCCAGCATTAAATGCAGCTTCCACTTGCTGACTGCCCATTCGGGTATAATGTTCGGTGAGTGGGACCCTGCCATAGATGTTATCTTGTTTATGAGGAGTATCCCGAACCCCGTTCGGGAACCAGCTATTTGGTGCTTTGGCGTGATTGTTTCCTGAGATGCTCCAAGTAGAAGATTCGCCCCGAATGCTGATCGGGAACTCTGGGCTGCTTTGGGCCTGCTACTTCTTTCCGGATTTGGGTTAAGGGATATTGGGCCTGGACCCAATATCCCAACAGAGCTCAAACTCGGAGATCCTGCATTAATGGACGCCTGAATGCTTTGTTCACAACCCAAGCAGAAACAGCCTAAAAATCCCCAGCAACGAAGGTAGCAGCAGAACAGAGTAGGTCCTCCGCTTGCTCTGGCGACACCACCTGCCCGATTGCGCCGACGACTCAGGGATCTCTGGTAAAAGCTCACTGCTGTCTTGGACATTTCTTTCCTTTAATTTGTTCATTCTTTTCATCTCGTTTGCTCGCTTGAAGTTACAACAATAAATCTTGTGTGAGGATAACACAAATTACAACAGAAGGGTAAAATAGAGAAAAAGTTACTTTATGGCTCTTTCTTAATTAGTGTGCCATTGGGCTATGTTGCATCTAATTTGGAATGGGGGATAGTATATCATTATATAATAAACATTTATTACACAGAAAGATTAATAAACTTTAATAACAAACTTTAATTACCATTTTTTTCAACATGTCTACTGGCTGGAATCCGCCCTCCGCGATATTGCGACTCCTTGGCCTTTTGGGAGTTGCGGTTTCTCTTCCCGGCAGCACTCTTCTTCTAGAACGAATCAGACGCCCAATACTCTTTCAACAACATCCCGTCACCATCACTTATCCGCCCAATGTTTTTGCTTAACCATTCAGAGCTCCTAGAATGAAACCTCTTTTTGATTCTACTAGTAGCATGCATCCAATTCATACTTTTTCTATAGCCAAAAAAATAATTTAATAACATATTGAACCGATTAAACGACTGTTCTACAAATTACAAATATTTAAAACTGTTTTATTACTATAATGGGATCTTTAAAGTACCTCAAACAAATGCCACCAGCGTTGTTGTTGATCAACATCCATATGCTTGTATGTGTATCACGGCCCATGTAAATTGTTTGTAATGATTGATATGATATTCAGACTTTATATTCAAAGATTCAGAAACCATTTTGCCCGAATATTAAAAAAAAGTAAGAAATTATTTATTTATTGAATTAGCAAGTATATAGAACTAGTAAAGCTTCAAAATATATCATGATCGAGCATACTATGGGTATAAGCTCAATCATAATGATCATAATTCAACACATGCATGATTTATTAATTTAAAGTTAAGAGAAAAATGTTACATACCTTACACGTTGACGATAATTAGTTTAAGAAATCCAAGTATAAATATTCTGGCCACATTGGAAATACAAAATAATACCACTTTCCATTTTTTTTTGAGAATTCATCACTATTAATAAGAATGTAATGAATGTATACATAACAAGCTAGATGTGTTCAATACATGACAATATATAGATTTGTTTGACACGGTTTTTGACACGGAATTTCAACGAATAGTTTTTGGATCAAAATTAGGAAATGAACGGGGGCGGAAGTTTCAACGGTTAGTTTTGGGACGGACTTTGGCTGGGAATTCAACGGCTACATTTGGGATCAGAATTTTCAAAGTTATCCCCAACAGGAACATTTTGGCACGGAAATTGTCTCCAAATTGTTTGGCAGAGAATAATCCCAACCATAATATTGTTGGAAAAATTGCATTAAAAATTGCATTAAATGACTATTTTCGGGCAGTATTTTGAGTGTGGTCCACTTCCAATTTGGGTCGGGTCAAAGTAGTTTCAGATTCTCCTTTCTAAGGAATTCAATTCGATATGTGTTACGCTCAAAATGGATAAAGGGTGAATGAGATATTGATTCTCAAAGTTCACTTGTTGAGATGAAGAAGTTGGAAATTTTCGAAGGTAGAACTAAACGTAGAACTACCGTCGGATATTGGTCGTTCTAACCTCTCTTCTAGGTGCTAGAGTTTCTAACGTTGCCTAACGTTTAGAAACTGGAGAATGTGATTAAAATATGGTTTAATTACATGGTTAATGGCCTGAAACGTTCAAAACTATTACAACACAATAAGTGTGTGTTTAATGGACGGTTTCACACAATAAATGTGGTGTTTAATGCATAATTAAGAAAAAGGCTCCTCCTCCCCTATAAAAGCTTGGCAGCAGATTTTTGATTCACAAAGGATTGAGTACACACAACTTGAGTACCACTGAGCACACAAAAATACTAGTTGCATAGTCTTCTCAAAAGAAAAACTCTGCCAAACTTTCGATAAAACTTCCCGAGTTCTACCCTTTGTTCCAGTTTGCCGGAGCAACCTATTGAGTGCTCAATATGGTTGTTCGTTAGTCATCGTATCCTGGGAAACTGACACTGCAACGCTCTTAGCACCGTGGGAGGCAGTGAATTAGTTTTAAGGACAGTGTGTGTTGCACATGCTTTGACTGAACCTTTGCCAGTTCTTTGTCCAGTTTCTTCGGCTATTTTATATTATATATCTTATTTTTCGGAAAAACAAAAACACTGTTTTCTCCTACAAAATTACCACGAACTTATTTGATTTTTTTGGGTTTTGGAATGAACTTTGGCTCGGAATTGACGACCTGAAATGTTGGCACAAAATATTTTGAGACAAACCATAGCTTTGGTCAACTACATATTGTCTCGGTTTAGTATCCGATCCGAGTTGGTACAAATTTTGGATCGTAGGAGCCTGCTATCCAAAATTTTACTCCCTCCGTCCCGCAATTAAGTTCACACTTTGACTTCACACAGATTAAGAAAATAAATTTGACTTTACTGTGGAGTGCACTGTTTTGCACGGTTTAAACACTGTTTGACACTGTTTGACATTGTTTGACACTGTTTTGATGTAGATAATTTGCCAAATAAGGAAAGTATTGAAGTGTGAAGTTAATTTCGAGACTGCCCAAAAAGGAAAATGAGAAGTTGTTTACGGGATTACGGGAGTATCATTTTTTCATTGTTGGCACGGATTTTGGCTCCTATGTTCTGAGCCAACACCTAATTTCTGATTGGCACTAGACTTTCCGTGCCAAAACCGAAAAGGTAGCTGTATGTCTGTATAAAGCTCTCCCGAGCCAAAAAGCGAGACAAATGTGGCACGGAATTTTGCCGAGCCGAATTTCCCTACGACCCTGCCTATAACGAACTTTTTTGTAGTGTTTTGAACATAACGGATTTCTTCAATTAAGATCAATGCTGCTTACTTCCCAAAAGAGGACTCACACATACAACCCTGTTATGGGTTGCTTTGATTGTTTTATTCTATTAACATGAATAATTAAATAAAGCACATTTTGGAAATACTACACATATTTAGTTCTATTATTTAATTTTAGTCATGTTTGACTTCTATTTTGAACAATTTATTTTTGATAGACTCATAGACTATTATGAGTTGAGAAAACAAATGATATGATCGAGAATGGGAAAGAAGTGGGGGAGTTTTGATGAGAATGCATAGAAATTATCCATCGAAAAGCTAAGCTAGAATCCATCATAACAATTAACGGGAAAACAAGAAGACGCGCGTACTTATAAGAATAATGTTATGAAAATTACATAAGATAATAGTGAGAAGCGCGCGTTGCAAAAATTGGATGAAAATTTATGCACAACGTAACGTAACTCAGAATTGCATGAATACGTAGAACGTAACACAAATGTCATGAAATTGTAATTAAATGACCATGAATTGAATTGACCTATATACCTACGTGCTAGCTAATACTAATAATAATATAATATAATGTGAGTTACATGAGTGGAAGAATGAATGGATGAGTAAGAAGTAGGTAAAAAAGAAGTCATCTGGTGGATGAATATAGCAAAACTGGGCCGGGGTTACAATATACTTGATAATTACAGCACATATCTAGTCTAGCTAGCTTTACATACACAAAGGGATCGGATAACCGAATAAATAGAAGTATAGAAGCAAGAAAAAGGAAAAAAGATCCTAGGTAGGCTAATTAATTACCTGCATGCTGAAAATGGATCCAAACAGGCCGGCCGGGGTGTTAATGACATGTGGGTTGTTGAAGGGGCGGTAAACGTGTAAAAATGATGGGAGCGCCAAACTGGGGGTGCAGAAGCATCAACACGGTGGGAGCATGTCTATAGCGCGGGGACAAGCGGAAGGAGAAGCGGTGGAGCATGATGGCGAGCGTGAGTTTGGTCTGGAGCACCGCCAGGTTCTGCCCGATGCACTGCCGAACTCCCACCCCGAACGGGATGTAGGCCGCCGGGTGCTTCGCCGCTCGCGCCACCCCCTCCGAGAACCGGCTCGGCTTGAACTCGTTCGCGTCGCTTCCCCATATGCTCTGCTCGTGGTGCACCGCCAGGATTGGGATCAACACCTCCGTTCCGCACGGGATCTTGCATCCTCCCAGCTCCACGTCACCTTTCGCCCGTCGGATTGTCGCCACGATCGGAGGGTACAGCCGCAACGACTCATTAAGAATCATGCTTAACTGCATCCATTTTAACCAGTCAATGTCAATCTAATTAATTACGTAGTACTTTGTCCGTTCTTTTTTTTGTTGCAGCATTCCCACTTTCAAGTTTGTCAATGCATAACTTTGATCATGAAAATTAAAAAATTAGACTTTAAACATGCGTAAAAATGTTCATGTTGCAACTAAAAAGAAATAGAAGGTAGTGTTTAATTTATATATATAAATACATATACATATATCCGCTTCACCCCAAATTAATACCCATCTTAAACACATTATATTGGAATATTTTTCTAGACCTATTAGAGTATCTGCTCTCGTTAATTACCCATTATTATTATTATTATTATTATTATTATTTATTCATTACAATAGTGTTCCCATTTGCCTTCCAACAACCTAAGCAGGTCCAAAAAATTTATACAACGAAAAACATAAGCACGTTTATGTTCAAAATATAGTTGCAGGTGATTTGAAAGGAAAAAGTTTGAATTTGTACAGGGGTACGTAAATGAAATGATAAGACTGCGAATATTTTTATTTGTAGAAACAAATTAAAAAGAGATTAAACAGAGAACTTAAATTTGTTTCGTGACGAATGAAAGGAATAGGATGCAGTGTAATTTGGTGAAGAATTAAAGTAAGAGCGTATATGGCGGGGTTAAAGGCCGGAAAAAGGAAGGATATTGAATCCAAATCCGGCCTATATTTGTCAAGGAAAGTACTATTCAGGGGTGGGGTGATTAATTAATGCTTAAGCGTCAGAGAGAAGACAAAAACACGATTTCTTGTATTTGTCTTCTCCATCATCGCCACCACCACTCCAATAACATTAAATTAAAGGTGGAATTGATTAAATGAGAGGGGCCCTACCGTCTTAAGCTTGACGATATCGTCTTTGGATGGCATGTCACGTGGCCCGCACACCTTGAACACCTCGTCACGTGCTTGGTCCTGCCACTGCGGGTGCATAGCCAGCAACACGGTCGTCCACGTCAGCAGGTTCGACGTGGTCTGCTCGCCGGCGAAGAAAAACGTCTTGCACTCCTCCGCGATGTCGTTGGGCGTGATCATCGACGCCGGCGGGCCGTGGCTCGCCGCCGCCTCTCTCACGCTGGCTTGGATCATCAGGCTCAGTAGATCCTTGGGCCCATTCTCAGGCACCTCGCTTCCCCACTCCCCTCTCCGTTCTTCAATTACCTTCATTAATGATCTCTTTATCTCCTTCTCCAATTTCCAAGATTTTATGTTCCGTCTTGTGGGCAGAAATCTGATCACCCCCAAATTTGAAAAATAAAGATCACACCAAAACAAATTCGTAATAATCACAATGATTTACAGTGATACACATTTTTGCTTTAATATTTTAGGAATAAATAACAGTAAACTACAAAGTGTGATCAATATATTCTTATTCCTAAATAAAAGTAATCGACATTGTTCTATTTTAAATATGCACAATACTATTTTCCGAAATTGTTTTGCAAAGTTAACATTTTTTTCCTAACTAATGTTAAAGTTGAACCCTCTATTCATAAAAATTCGGTTTTAATTATTAAAATTTACATATTCAAAAACTATATTAAAATCTTTATAAAGTTGTAAACTCCAAATTAAAATTTAATTAAGAGTTGTTATTCTAAGTAAGTGAATAATATGAATTTGTTTGACTTAAAAGTCAATTTCGCAACTCAATTTGGAATGGAAAGAGTAAAATTTTCTAAATTTGACAATAAGTAATTAGAGCATCTCCAATGGTAAAATGTGCACGGTGCACACGTGACATGAGAAACGACCACATAAACATTACTAAATAAATTCTTTCTCTCCTTATTTGAATGATTTTATACTGTTTTCGTAAGTTTTTCTCCACAATGTCAAGGAGACCGTCTAAATGTTGACGTTGTTGTTGACATTGCAAGGAAAAACTTAACAAAATTGTATAAAATCATTCCAATAAGGAGAGAGATAATTTATATGATAATATTTATGTGGTTATCACTCATGCCACATGTGCACCGTGCATATTATAATATTGGAGATGCTCTTATATTTACGGAATAAAATCATATCTTTTTCTTACATTTACTTATTATTATTATTATCGAGTTTGGGAAAGAAAGTCAATTTCCATTACATTTGTTATGATTGTTCAACAATCGAGTTAAACCTACAAAGTTCATGCTACAATTGGAACAATTGAGTGTGATACATCACACATGCCCTCATTTCAATTCTGTTATATTTACCTCTAGTAAATAATAAGAGTAATAATAAAATATTCCGCGACAGTCTTAGGGAATTGAATTTAATGCCACCTCGTTGTCATTTACTAAAGTACATGATGCGGAGTAAAGTAAATTTTAAACCAAGTTTGAAAAAAATTCCCCCAACTTGAAAAGTGTGACAACTAAAAAGCAGTACAACATGTCACATTGACTGGCCCGGATTTTGAATTTACTATCAAAATGTAAATACATTCTTTTTGAATGAAATGTAAATACCTTTTGGGAAAAGGGATTCAATTCGAAGGTAGACAAATAAAAATAGAAAAATAAATGGAAGAAAAAAATAAAAGTACCTATAGCCGGGGATGAAAATCTTTTGGAAGGCTTCACTGGCGAGAAGCATTTGCTGAGCTTGAAGGCGGAAAATGGCTTTGCCGTCGGGGTAGCTATGGCCAAAGGCAGTTTGTGCCACAATGTCTTCGGTCAAGATTTGGAACCATTCTGAGACTTCAATTTCCACTTCTCCGCTCCCACATGACATGCCCTCCCATTTCTCCAACATTTCAATCACTTTACTCGCTGCCACCGGTATCAGCAGCTGCATCACAAATATGTCAACATTAAACTTGGTTTGACTCCCATCCCCCACTGTGCTATAATATTCCAGTATCAATCAATCAGCCCCAAAATCACGAAACTAAACTCACTTACTTTGAGATTTTCCATGTGGAAAGTCGGGGTGATGATTTTCCTGTGATGTGCCCATTTTTCACCTTTCAGGCTCAGGAGCCCATCTCCCTCCAGCTGTCTGATCAAAGGGTGCGCTTGATTTTTCTCGTAAAATTCCGCTTTCGATGTGAATATTTCTCTTATCAGGTCTGGATCAGCTACAGCCAAACGCGCCGTCGGTCCGAACCACACCAGAAACGTCGCACCTGTACATACAACATCAATATTTCATTTTAACACATTTCTACGGAGTAATTGAATTGATTTCTCCCATCCTTTTTTATACAGTAATTTGGTCCACCTATATTTATCGTTATCCAAATTTGCCAAAGATACGGATTCTGTATTTTAATTTAATTAGGGGATCGAAGGAAGAGAATGATGGATAGTGTAGGACCCTTCCCTGCAGCTGTGGGGCTGGCTGTCAAACACAAAGAAAGTTAAGAAGAGGACAAGTAAAAACTATGCCCCTACCCAACACACAATCAGAGTTCACAAAGATTAAAAAAAAAAAAAAAGCTAACCCCTAAATGGGATCCCTCAGAAACTACCATTGTTACAGTTCCAGGACCACAAACAAATGTTGTCGCCATGTTCTCAGACCGCTTTAATACCCAAGCTTACCCCAATTAAAGACAGTTTCTTTTCATTTCTTTTCTTTTCATTTCTTTTCTTTTCTTTCCTTTTCAAATGAAACAAAAAGAAAAGGAAATGTCAATTAATTAATTAGCTGGCCTGATCACGAAAATAGGATAAGCTAGCTGGGCAGCTTAGCTAAGAATGTGGAAGAGCTAGGTAGCTAACCATTAAAGAGAAAAGCTGGCGTGGCCTGGCCTGGACTGGGATAGATCAGCTGATACAGACGTACTGAAGTGGTGGTGAAAGAAGGAAGGCGTTGGGGAAATGATAAGAATCTTCAAGCATAAAAAAGATGCTACGTCGTACATAAAGTGGCCAAGCATCAGAGAGATTCTCCTCCCCCATTTCCAATCCCAAAATCCAAGAAAACAAAAAGTGCTGGCTAACACAAAAAGGCCAAACCTTTGAGGCCCGATGGATCAAACTTGTTAGTTTTGTCTAGATTCAATATGACAGGTGACAAGACGAGTAATGATGCATTTGTTTACAAAGAAAACTCCAAACAAACATCTATCATCACTGATCCATATTTGTTTTTCCCTTTCTTTGTGATCGGTCGATCTTCAATCAGTTTTTGTGACAAGACCAGACCAGGCCAACAATGTTATTCCACAGCCTAGCTCTGTCCCTCCAATCCCAGCCGTAAGCCAAATTAATTATATTAAACCAGATTTTTCTTTTTGTTTTCCTAATAAACTAAAACGAGAAATAGGATGTAGCTGGGGAATTGAAATTGCATTACCATAGATTTTCTTCCAGTGGTGGTAGAAAGGGAGGACTCTGGGGAGAATGTTGTGGCAGTTGGTCATGTGGTGGGAAGAAGCTTTGACCATGAGGCTCACAATCTCCTTGGCATTGCCGATGAAGAAGCGGTAGGGAGGGCCTCTTATTCCCTGTTTGGCGAAGTGCTCTTCCATCTTCCTTGGCCTCCACCACAGCCAATTTATGCCCCTAACCACCAACACGCACACCGCCAAACTGATGCCTACAAACTTCATGTTTTCCCACACCTTCTCCTCTTCCATCGCCCGTATATATTTATTTATATACTCTTTCTTAGCTTCTTTGTGTTCTGTGAGCCTTGAGCACAGCTTCTTCTCTTTTTAATGCCAAAGTGAGAGAAGGTGAGATCAGAGAGAGAGAGAGATTTGGGCAAGTCTACCGGCGTAGGGGCCGCCATTGCGCTAATTATATGGGTCAACGAATAAATGACTTAAAAATACCAGTTTGCAGTACACAAATACGCCCAACTCTACTAAATTTTATTAAAATGTACTACCTCCTTTCCATTTTATGTGGCTTAGTTTGACTTGACACCGTTATTAATAAAGTGATTAAAAAGGTAAAAGTTGTGGTTGAGATTTGAGTATAATAAAGTGAAATGATGTAGACCACACATTCCTTTCCAAAAAAGGAAATGAGACACTTATTTTGGGACAATCCAAAAAGAAAAATAGGACATGTAAAATGGAACGGAGGAGTAATTTTCTATTTCACGCTATGAATTTTATGATAATCAAATAAGTATGGTTCTAATATAAAGAACTATTTTGGACATTTTTCATAATTCACCAAATTCAATATATTCAGCACTTGGCCATTATTTCATCAATTTTGCATAATCGGCCTATTTAGCTTCATTGGTAAGACTGAAATTGACTAAATCCTGTGAATCTGTTGAAATGGGTGAGATTCTGATTAAAATAACGAGGGGTGTTTAGATGATTGGATCTATTTCCCAAAATTGCTTTTGCTCCTTCAAAAAGCATAAACGGATATTGGAGTGCTCCTAAATGCCCCCAGAAGGAGTTTTTTAGAAGCTGAGGTAGATCAACTTCTGGAAAACTCATTCTGATTCTACTTATGTTTTTAAAAAAGAAGTTGAAGCAGAATCGATTTCCAACGTCCTCTGAATTAGATGAATCAGCTGATATATGAAGTAAAAAATGATTTAAAATATATTCCATTAATAAAACAAAGAAAAAATCATATGGAAAAAAATAAAATTATCATTTACAATCACTTCAGTCAATTCAGTAAAAATAACTTTAACCATAGTTATTTTGATTATTCTAAAACCAATGCGCCAAATAAAAGATCACATGTTCAATAACAAAATTGACAAATGAACTCACCATTTAACATGTTATTGCCTTTTTAACCTTTCCTGTCTTACTTTACTTTGTACATCATTCTGAATTTGTATAGCATAATTTCGGTGTAGCATGTCAGTGTACTTCCATACTCCAAATGACATCATTACTTTTGACTTGAAAATTAAATTGACGCACCCATAATTTAGGGAGTGTTTTTTTTTGTGATAGGGAGTGTTTTAAAAAATCAACATTTGACTTTAAAAAAATGAAATACAGAGTACTTAGTACATCTCCGTCTCATTTTATGTGTCTTATTTTGACTTGACACGGTTATTAATGAAATGGTTGAAAAAAGTAAAAGTTGTGGTTGAGAGTTTTGAGTATAATAGAGTGAAATGGTGTAGGCCACATATTTCTTTCCAAAAAAAGAAACAGGACACTTATTTTGGGACAACCCAAAAAGGAAAGTAAGACAGGTAAAATGGGACGGAAGGAGTATAAGTTTTCAAGTATCAACTCAACTTAAATTAAGTATTAAAAAATTTAAAATGGATGGAGGTGTTTTAAATTACTTTTCACCTTTTATATACGAAGTATTACACAAAATTTGATATCCAGCCCCACGTCTCTCTCTAGGGCTTCCTAACCACTAGAGCCTTTTTCTCCGGAGGCGATCAATTCCGATCATGGGTTCCGGCCGTTTTTGTTCCATCTGTGTGTTTCAGTTTGGCTTACGTCATCAGGATTAGCGCTCGATTGCTGTCGAACATTGGTCTGCTACAGCGTTTCCTTTCGTTTTGATCCCAGACAATAGGCGATCCGTTTGATTCTCTTTTTTGGGAGGAAGAATGAGTTTGGGTAGCAAGGGCATGGCAGCTATGAAGATGACCGCTAGGGGTGGATTTGCTAAGAGCGTGGGACGAGCAGAGTTGCGCGGCTTTCGAGTAGGTCAAATGACGACTGACAATGAAGGATCAATTAGAATGGTACCAAGGATACGGTCTCCTCCAGAACCACTGCCATGGGTTGTACATAGAGACATAGAGTCCGTGAAAGTTTTCCTATTAGTTATTATTTTTTTTGTAATTTGGATTCTTGTTATCGTCTATGTTGTTAGTTTTGTCAGTTTGTTTGGGATTTCAGCCTTTTTTATGTCATTAAGTATGTTTGGATCTATGGGAATAAGGATGGTTGTGTCAAGCCCGCTACATGGTTAGCGATTCGCGTTGCTCTTTCAGGGGTGACCGTCTCTAAGTCTATCATAGGGTTTAAAGTCGTAATTGTGGGAATTTAGTTGGTGTCAGTTTTGTTTTTCCTTTAACTGATGTAATGATCCTGAAATTTATGATATGAAAGAAGGTTGGTTGAAACAAATTTAATGATCCTGATGTAATGACGATAAAAAAAATACACGAAGTATTACTCATCAAAGAATGAAAGAAACAATTTATTAAACACCACCAAATTTTATTTTTTCCAAAACATTTTTTCTCAAATACTGCCAACATTTATTATTAAGCTCTTTTTGTTTGATTGAATTTAAAAATCACTTTAAGAGGTGTCCTAGGTTTTCAAATTGAACCAGAGGAGGAATTGAACCACCAATCCTCAGTTCCAAATTTCGAAGAACCGGAGCTGGAACCTTCCACAACTGGCGGTTCTGGTTCCAATTCGGTTCGATTTTCCATTTCCTACTTTTTGTTTTTATTTTTACTTTTAAAATTTTAGTTAATTTTTTAAATAGAGTAAGTAAGAAGTTGTTGAAATATTCAAATAAAGAAGTTCCAAAAATATACTTCAGTATTTAGTAATTTATGTTATTACCATAATTTGTAATACGGGGTACTACATAAAAAGTGTTACACCTATTAATTAATGACTAAAAAGTAAAACCTAAAAGTTTTTGTTTGTTATTTTGGTGTTAGTACAGCAACAATTACTAATATTATTATTATTATTTCCGCAAAAAAAACATTATTATTATTACAATCATGTTTCTTTGTTTTTTTTTTTATTTTTATTAAAAAAACTATTCCGCTTCCTTAAATCTCAAAAATCAAACTAGCTAGAACTTCCGGTTCCGAACCGTAAGCCTATCCCGGTTCCGATTCCCATTCATAAATCGCCGCATCAGTTTGAACCAAAAATTGTTTGATAGTATAAATCGATTCCTATACAAGTCTACCTATACTAGTGCAAGCTGGCGAAAAATGTTTTTGTAAATGAGAATATGTTTGATATAACTAAAAAGTATTTTTTTAATTGATGTTATACTTTCTTTTAGGGAAAATCGCACAATTGGTCTGTGATTTATTCTTCTTAAGTTTAATTCCAGATATGTATGCTACATTTTTTTATTAAAGAAAGAGAAAAAAGAAAATACAAGGAAGAAAAATAAACAAGAAGCTTAACAAAAAGAAAAGTGTGTACATCCCTTAAATGTTTTTTACTATATGTATCCTACATAATACTATAACATATGTATTGATATGAAGTAGCGAACGTAGAAATATCAATTGGACACTAAAAGGAGTAAATCTAAAAAAAGTCAATGTTGTATTTATGGGTATTCATGCTTGTGATGGTGGATATGTGACATTTTCACGGTAGATTTTGGTTCAAATACGAACAAGGCTTAGGGCCTGTTTGGTAACGGCTGAATAGGCTGAATTCAGGCGCTTACATAACACGAGTGGAAAAAGTGGATTTATGTCCTCTGCTCCTTTATCTATTTGTTTGATTTTTGTGGAAGTGCCGGTGAAAATATATTTTTTTCCGACGTCTCTGAGTTCTTAGAAACAACTCTCATTAGCAGCGTTATTGTCACGGTTTGGTTGTATTCGCATTAATATCACCATATATTTGAATCTTTTTATGTTGGTCTTAGTCTTTTTCCAGGTCTTATATTACACAATGGGATAAATTCATCTGAGTTTTGTGCTTCATGTTTTATTGTCTTTTAGGTCTGTAAAATTCTTATCCTCATCATTCTATTTTCCTAGGTACCTTGCTTTACACCTTCAAGGTGGAAGGGGTGAAAGAAAACTTTGTGGCACATTCTTCATGCACAAAACTTTTAGTTAGGTTAAATATGTTAAGATGTAAGTATGGACCTTATTTTGATTATATTCTAAGTTTAATAAATCATTTTTATTGAAAGTGAAGTTTACAATAATTAATTTGCTTAGATCTCAAAATCACAGAATGCCTTAGAGGAGTTATTTCCAGAACCACACTAATTGAGGTTCAATAGTGTAGACTTCAAAAACAATTCTAATTAACTATTTCTGGCTACTAAGCTATGGGGTGAAAGAAAACTTTGTGGCACATTCTTCATGCACAAAACTTTTAGTTTGGTTAAATATGTTAAGATGTAAGTATGGACCTTATTTTGATTATATTTTAAGTTTAATAAATCATTTTTATTGAAAATGAAGTTTACAATAATTAATTTGCTTAGATCTCAAAATCACAGAATGCCTTAGAAGAGTTATTTCCAGAACCACACTAATTGAGGTTCAATAGTGTAGACTTCAAAAACAATTCAAATGAACTATAAGGAAAATATTTCTGGCTACTAAGCTATGGGGTTAAAAAGAATCTTTAAAAAGTAATTCAACTCATGGAAAAAATGAAGAAAAGGCGTGCTTTTGGAATGAATTGTTTTGCTATGCTTTTTAATATACATGTTACTTATTAGAAATACTTTTGGAGCGACATCTTATCCTGCTAGAAAGGTTCTAAAATGCATTAGATTGAACTAAATCATCTATAAAAATGTCTATCTTGATGACAGCTTTTCCTGTATGACCTCAAATTATTAGGTAGTGGATAATCATATGAAGGCTATATTAATGAGTCTTTGATGGAAGCCAAGGGAGCTGCTGCTGAAAGTGCACAATTATGAGTCTTCATGATTTGGTTTTAGTAGGCTTTTAGACTGTATTTGATAATTAAAGTTTATTTTTTGCTTTTTTAATTACACTGACCTTTATTAAACCTAATAAACTACGTTCTTTTCATTTACTTCAGATTTTGATTGAAGATCAACCAGTTCAAGAATTGAGTTCTAAACTAAGGTTGCCTCTAGCTCTTTT